AACTGTGTATTCCAAATTGAATCTCCCTAAGGAAAATGTGAATCTGCCAATTGTTTATATGAGTAAAATATGGTGATTTGGATTCAGGATACCCAGAAATCTTTTCCTAGATTAGGCCAGACCATCAGGATTATACGTCTGTATTGTATTATGTTAGCTCCAGTAGAATTTCATTTATTGAACTAACTTTTGGAAAAATATCATATTAAAGGGCATTGTAAGAAATGCCCTAAAAAGCAAATTGCCTTATATAATCTGAGGTGCTGTCAAGGCCAAGTTGGTATGGTTCTGTGAGAATTCATGAAGGACGATCCTCTCAGGATCTTTACATGTTTGTGATTACTGTGTCAAGGAAAGGGCTGGAAAAGGTTTGTTTTAAACTAATAGACCTTGAGTCAGGTAGCCACACATATTCTCTCTGCATTGGCTGGCATATTTAGGGTCAGTGGTTTGTCCCACCCTAACCAAATACATATGTAGGATTCACTGGCAGGTAGTTTGTAGCCTGTTCTCACTTCTTAATTTAACCTACTGTCCTTTTGCTTCTTTCTTTCTCGCCTTATTCTAAACTTTTCTGGTTTTTGTCATTACTATATGCAAAATTGTGTTGGACACTAGAACGGAAATAATAGAGAGTATACACTGTCACTTTAGTCCCCATGAACTATTTATTAGTCTTGACAACAGTTGATAATTCTTGCCTGAGTCAATGATTTCATAGGAAGTTGCAGGATAAGGATATTCTAAGTTGATCATCTCTTTCTCCTTTGTTTGAAAGGTCGACCTTCACCTGATCACCAGAGTCCATTTCAGTCCTGTGAAAGGACAAGATAAATGCTTAGTTTTTTCTTTTTATAATTTTTTTTAAGGTGAGCAGCGAGTTTTGGCCAGGTACCGTGGCTCATACCTATCATCCCAGCACTTTGGGAGGCTGAGGCAAGAGGATCACTTGAGCCCAGGAGTTTAAGCGCAGACTGAGCAACATAGCAAGACCCTGCCTCTCTTGTTTTTGTTATAAATACATAGACTTTTTAAAGTTGGTTTTATAGTCTTTTCAGATGAAGACAGATGATTTATTTCCCTCCTCTTTGGCTTTCTCTCTTTTGATTATTCTTGTAGAATCATGAATTTCCTAGATTCAGTGTGTTTCAGTTAACAAAACATTCTACTTTTTAGATGCACAAACACTACTTTGTTGAGGGGCTGTTTTCAACCTGTGTCCCTATACAACCTTGTAATGCTCTGAAAGCTTTCTTGCTTTCTGCCAGAATAAGATGTCCCATGCACCTGTTGAGCCTTTTCTTTCTGAGAGTTGAGACTAGCTGTTTCTTGAGACAGTTCTGGTTCCTGCTTCTGGGAACTAGGGTGCTCATTGCTGCCGGGGTGCTATTGCTTCTAAGCTATTTATTTCATAAATACAGTGTTTGTATTTGTTTGATTTCATAATTATATATCTTCTCCCTTACACTGAATGTCTTGATTCCTAAGTCCATTAACTTATTTTGTTTACTTATTTGATTTGAAAGCACTCTGATGACAAATCTTCCTTAATAACAGCATTTGAGTACAAAAGATCTACAAAGATATTTTAAACTTTATTAAGTAATTTTATGATTAGTTATAATGTTAGCAATGCTGTTTCAAAACAGCTTTTAAATAAATCAAATATATAATACATATAATTAAGACTACCAAGGTGATCTATGGGGACAGCAATAAAAGTAAGATTTATCTGTGTATACCTTTCTTTTCTTTCTTTCTTTTTTTTTTTTTTTTTAGATGGAGTTTCACTCTTGTTACCCAGGCTGGAGTGCAATGGCGCGATCTTGGCTCACCGCAACCTCCGCCTCCTGGGTTCAGGCAATTCTCCTGCCTCAACCTCCTGAGTAGCTGGGATTATAGGCACGCGCCACCATGCCCAGCTAATTATTTGTATTTTTAGTAGAGACGGGGTTTCACCATGTTGACCAGGATGGTCTCGATCTCTTGACCTCGTGATCCACCCGCC